GGTTCAATCCCCAGGTCTGCTGTGCAGACCCCACCCCAGGGTGCGCTGAGATGGCAAGTGAGACTGGGTATGGTGGCGTGCACCTGTAATCCCAGCTCTTGGGAGGCTGTAAACAGGCGGATCACTAAGAGTCTGATCTAGTAATGAGACCCTGAACACCCTTAGTGAGACCCTGAACACCCTGTAGACCCTTCCCTAAAATACAAAAAATAAAAACAAAAAAATAAAAGAGCCAGGACTGGGCCGGTAAGATAGCTCAGAGTAGATTAAAGCGCCTGCTTAGGCAGATAAAGGGGAAGGGGCTTGATCCCTGGGCCTGCTGTGCAAGCCCCACTCCCATGACACACTGAAACGGCGATTAATGGTGACACATGCCTATAATCCCAGCACTTGGGAGGCTGTAAACAGGAGGATCACTATGAGTCCAATACACGTAGTGAGACCCTGAACACCCTGTATACCTTGTACACCCTGTACTAAATACATTTTAAATGAAGAATAAGAACACTAAAAAAAGAGCCCGGATCCAGTTTAGTGCAAAGGTCCTAAATTTAATCCTCAGAACTAAAAAAAAAATTAAAAAAAAAATAAATAAAAGTATATAAGGAAAAAAACTCAGATAGATGCTTTACTTTCAAATAAAATATTACCTTTCTGAAACAAAGGTAACTTAAAATTTTGAAGCACTACAGGAAAACAATGTATGAACCTATCCACATTTAAAATTTTGAAAATAAGGGGCTGGGGATACAGTTCAGTGGCATAAGCACCTGCCTGGCAAGTGTAAGGTCCTGAGTTCGATCCCTAAAAGGAAAAGGGGGCCGGGGAGATGGCTCAGTAGAATAAGTGCTTCCCTGGCAAGCGCAAGGGCCTGAGTTCAATCCCTGGTTCTGCCAAAAAAAATAAAATAAAAGGAAAAGAAACAAAACATATGAAAACCATTTAGTACTTTAAGACATAGAGCCAGGGAGATGGCTTAGCGGAATAAGCGCTTGTCTGGCAAGTGCAAGGGCCTGAGTTCAATTCCCGGTACTGCCAAAAAAAAAAAAAAATGTCAAAGACAGAGAACTTTTAAAATAATGTAAACACTAATACTTCAAATAATTTACCAATGAAGAAATAAAACTAGGTAACAAATGTTAGTATCAATAGTAATGAAGAAAATGAGCTGGGCATGATGGTACACACCTGGAATCCCGGAGGCTGAAGCAGGAGGACTGCCACATCTTCAAGGCCAGTCTGAGCTACATAGTGATTTAAAGCTAGCCTGAACTACATTGCAAACCCTACCTCAAAATATTAGGAAAAAAGGAAAATGAAATTTTGCTTTGTTTCTGCTTAAAAATGTACTATTTACAAAAACACAATTAAAAAAATCTGAAAAATAAAAACAAAAAAACCACCAACCTTGGTAAATACCCAGAAATAGGAAAAGTTAGGGAACTGGGTATTTAGAGACACAGCCTATAGGAATAAAAAACAGTAGTGTAACTTCAAAGGCAATGTGCAAGTATCTATCAAGAATCCTACCAACATTCATGTGTGTAAGTCAGGAACTTCATTTCTAGAGCTGGGCATGCTCGTGCATGCCTACGATCCCAGTACTCAGGAGGCTGAAACAGCAGAATCACCATGAGTTTGAGGCCAGCCTGGGCTATACAGAGGAAGTCCAAGGCTAGCCTGAACTACATAGTGAGACCCTCATCTCAAAACAATAAAACAAAATGATAATTTCCACTTTTAAGAATGCCATAAGGAAATAATAATAGATGCAAGAAATCCCTTATTTACAAAGATATTCACAGCAGCATTAGTACTAGTTACACAGAAAAAAAGAAATAAATACGAATGATCAACAACGAGGAAATATACTGAGCCATCTACTGTGCTACCACATAAAACTGAATTCATATACGTGAATTAAATCTCAACAAAGGTATTTCTTTTAAAAGTCAAGGTTTTTGGGGGTGTTTGTTTGTTTTAAAGTTTTCTGAAACAAGGTCTTGCTCAGTAGTCCTGGCTGGCCTGAGACTCACAGTGATGGTCCTTGCCTCAGCCGTCCTAGTACTGGATTACAGGTGTGCATCACCACACTCAGGAAAAAAAAAAAAAAAAAAACAAGTTTAGCTCGATCATAAAACATGGAAATTGCCTAAGTTCTCATCATTTAAAATGTTATGATATAAATGTGTATTATTTGTCATTATGAACATCACAACAGCAGTTAAAAATCAATGAATATTTACTAAGTGCCAAGCCCTAATTACTGGTCTTCACACATTCTCAAGGCTGTTAGCACCAATACAAGCGTTATGAGGAGCTTCCTTAGGAGGTTTCTGACCCACTGCCACTCACCCACTAGGAGGCTGGCCCAAGACAAACCATGCTTTAAGGGTAACCTCACAAAACATTCTCACAGGCTCTCTGGAAATATTAAAGACATCCCCCCCCCCCAGGGGAAAGTACCAGGAATCCAAATCAGGACCTTGTGCTCACCAGGCAGGCACTTGTACCACTGAGCTATATTTCCAGCCCTAAACACAGATACTGAAATTGAATTTTAATTACTTCAGAAAGAAAAGAAAGACACAGTACCCCTGAACTGCCCTGTCACTCTAAGCAGTCCAGTGCAGCAGCCCAAGGTAACCTATCCAAAAGACAAGCCTGATTATTGCTGCTAACAACCACATGCCAGTGTTATACCTTCATCCTTGTAAAAACCCTGTGGATATTACTATGAAACCTCTTCTCTTTAGAGAAAAGTGAGGCACAGAGAGAGCATTACAGTTCTAAAGCTAACAGGCTGAACTGAAACTAAAATCATATTCAGACAACAAAACCCATGATTCCAACTAGCGTTAACATTGTACAATGCATACAATACAAGGAAGGGAGGAAGGAAGGAAAAGACTGGGAAAAGATACCAAATGTGGTTTTCACTGGATGGTAGACTTGAAATGAATTTTTTCTTTTGCAATCCCCCATTTTATATGTGTGGATGCATAAGAAATACCTTCATCCTGGGAACTGGTACACTTTCACATCACATCTTGATCCTTTATAGTCCCCCTCCCCTTCCCTGCCTCTCATCTCTTCACAGACCCAAATCCCCTTCCATTTCTGCATAGTCTTTTTTTTCTGTTTTATCAATTAGCATATTTTATTTTTATAAAGAAAAAAACTTTTAAGTTATATAATAAGAAACTGAGGAAAAGAATTTGGGAAAATATTTACATTAACCAACAAATTACATTGCTAATATATAGAAAGTGTTGTCTCCTTTTATAAGCAACAATCAATGTATCTCAAAATCAAACCAGTAACTTAAGAAAGAAATGTTTCTTATCAAAGTTGGAAGAAAAAAACCTTAGAAATATAATCAATTAGATCCAAAAGCTATAACTCTTGTAGCATAGGTCTTGCTTTATCTTGGTCTTAACCATCCAGCAGAAAAGTATAAAAACGAAGTATAAGAAGTAAGCCATGCTGTTATGTTGAGCTGTAGGGGACTCAGGTCAACAATTTCTGACCCTGCCAGTCCAGTGAAAGACCTAATACTATATGGACTACTGAACTCCTTAAGAATATTTTGCTGAGTTAACATACCTATAATATTCAAATGACGGAACTAAACAAAAAAGGGGATACAGATGAATGTCCATTTTGTATCTGTGTATTCAAAGTGGTTAGGATAGATATATAGGGGCTGGAGAGATGGCTCAGTGGTCTAAAGCACCTACTTGGAACAAGCTTGGCAAAGCACAGGGACTGCGGTTCAATCCTCCAGCACCACATGCCAGCCAGCCCCGCCCCCTGGTGGGCTGAGCTGGCCACACACACACACACACACACACACACAAAATGTTAAAATAAAAAAAAATTTAAAAAAAAAAAGGATAGATATATAGTTACATTCTCTTAATGGATTTGTTCTAATGGTGTTTGTAAATAGGATATCATGTCTGCATCTTGTACAGCAATTAACCACTAGGAAGAATGTATGCAATGTGTTAATTATTGAAACTGTCCTTCCAATTTGATTTGAAACTGTCTCATTGCTATTTGTTTCTCAATAAAATTATGGGGAAAAAAAAGAAATATAATCAAGGCTGGAGAGAAAAACAGTTGAGGTCTAATCAAATGTATTAACATATCAGGAAAAGGTATGAATGAACCTGAAGTCACCAGAGAAGGGCTCAGGGCTTGTTCTCTTGCACTTCTGGCAAAGGCTTTGTGTGTGCAAACACAAATTCATCCAACTTCCCTGGGCTTTCCAGAATGCTTTCTTGTTTCCTGTAGTAGGAATCCAACCAATAGCTTTCACACCAAGCTACATCTCAACCCTCATCCCCAATAGTGGGGATTATCCAGGGGCTTTTGCCCTGAGTTACATACATCTCTAGTCCTTTTTTTTTTCCCCTCCCTTTTTTGGGGGACAGGATTTCACTATAGTTCAGGCTGGCCCTGAACCCACTATGGAACCGAGGCTGGCCCCAAACTCTGATGATCCTCCTGCCTCTGCCTCCTAAGTGATGGAATTACAGGCATTCACTACCATGCGCAGCCTTGCCATTTATTTTAAAACAGTGTCTTGCTAGCTAAATCAGTAAGTTGCCAGGCTGGGCTCAAACTTTCAATCCTTCCACCTCAGCCTCCCAGAATGCTGAAACTATAGGCATGTGCCACCACACTTTTTAGAATCTTACCCAGATTACAAGACTCTCCAACTTCTTCCACACGTTAGTAACAGGGGAAAGCCAGAAGAGAAACCTAATGGGTTAAAAAAAAAAACAAAAAAACAAAAAACCCAGAAGGAAGATTCAAACATTCTGAATATTATAAAAAATATATGGGGTCAAAGAGATTTATTCTTCAGGTCTTCTCAGATGCAAGGGTAATAATCATGAAATCATGCCCAACAACATGGGAAAGCACTACTCCTGCTTTCATGCTGGATTTCACTCTCTGGCCTCTGCCTCCCACCATTCTCCCCTACTGACCTCAGAGCCCAGGTTCAATGTTACTTCATGAGTATTCAAGTTTCTCAATTTTGTATCTGTAGAAGGCTGATCTCATTCCTGACTTCACCAGCACCACCATGAATACCTTCAAATAATAAATATTTACTGAGTCATTGGATGTACAAGTGAAGGAATGCAAAAGAAGAATGCGACAAAAAATCAGAATTCTAAGTAAATGCTTTCTCAGTACAAAGAAAGGACAAAGATGGGCAGTTCACTTTGTTTTAGGAAACTAAAAACTTTTTAGATAAGAAATCCTGGAAAAAATGACTCCCAAACTAAGTAAACAACTTAATAGCCAGCTTCGAGGAGAAAGATTTTTAGGAATTGGGACAGAAATGGGCAAAGGCATGATGAAAGAACTGCTTGTTTAAAAGACAATGTCAAAACACAACCTCAAAAGTCATGTGTCAGGGTCTGTGTCTAGATGTCCCCCTAAAGCCTCATGCAGCCATAGGCCTTTTTCATAGGTGGATGAATCTGGAGTGTGCAATGCTTGGATTAAGCGTGCTGGGATGAAGGGTGGGTGATTGCTGGATCAGACCACTGACTGGATTGGTTCTACTCTAACCCCAGCAGTCTGGATAAGATAAAAGGAACACAAAAAGGCTTGTCTTCCCTTTTTGCACTTGTTGGTTTTGCTGTTCTCTGGCACCAGCCATGTGCCACCCTGCTCTGGAGTCGGGATTATGGACTGAAACCTCTACAAAGTGTGACCTAAACCAATCTTTCTTCCCTTAACTTTGAAAGATGTTGAGCATTTTGTCTCAGCAAAGTAACTAAGAAAAGTAACTCAGAGAAAAGTAACTAAGACAGCATGTAAAAATTAAATGAGTTAATAAATGTAAAACACTCAATATATTTTATTCATTAACTTTTTATAAGCTGGCTATATCATCATCTTCTAAAAATACATTTAAAAAACTAAGATAACCTGGAGAAAAACTAAAAAATTCTTGAAAAATTATACATTAAATGACAGAATTACTATTCTTAATGTATAAAGAACTCAAAATAAGCAAGATGAATGTGCCAATAGAAAGACACAGAGATCACTATTTCTCAGAAAAAATGCAAACAAACATAGTCTTATTGACACTCAAAGAAAAAAATAATAAAGTGAGATAGTCTTATATTAAATTAACAGATTATAGCCAGTTATGGTGGTACATGCTGTAACCTAGCACTCTGGAGTCTGAGGCAGGATGATCACCAATATGAACTCAGCCTGGGCAACTCAATGACTTAGCAAGACTCTGTCCTCAAGTTTAAAAAAAAAAAAAAAGAAAGAAAGAAAAGAAAACACTAGTATGTAGCTCAGTGCAAAGCCCTACATCCAATCTCCACCATAAATAAATAAATAAATAAATAAGCAAGCAAGCAAGATTTTTTTTTTTAAGGCCAGTGTTTCCAAGCACAGAGGAAAGTAGGATGTATTTATGTGGTCCTTAGGAAGTATCCATATCTTTTTTTCCAATAATTCTATCAGAAGTTTATTTATTTATTATTTATTTATTTTGTATTTTAGGGAAGGGTCTGCAGGGTGTTCAGGGTCTCACTACTAGATCAACTTGTAGTAATCTGCCTGTTTACAGCCTCCCAAGAGCTGGGATTACAGGCATGTGCCACCACGCCCTGTCTCAATTGCCATCTCAGCGCGCCCCAGGGGGCTTGGCATGGCAGGCCCAGGGATCAAACCCCCAGCCTCTGCGCCTGCTTGCAGGTGCTTTAATCCACTGAGCTATTTGGCCAGTCCTTATGAGAAGTTTATTCTAAGAAAATAATTGTGAGTATGAACACAAATATATCCACAAATATGTTAAGTCTGGCATATTTTAGAATAACCAGAAAGTTACAAACTACCTTAATGTTAGCAATGCAATAAAAATGATTATAACTCTTCAAAATAAAAGAATGATTATAAGCATAGAATCAAAGTTAGAATAAGTTTATATACTGTTCACAACTTAGTAGCTCTGTGATCTTGGGCAAATTAACAAACCTGAACTTGCTCAATTTTATCAACTATAAAATAAATAATAACTGAACAGCTCTTAAAGAGCAGTTAAAGACTAAAGTAGGGGCCAGGGAGATAGCTCAGTAGAATAAGCGCTTGCCTGGCAATTGCAAGAGCCTGAGTTCAATCCCTGGTTCCGTTTAAAAAAAAAAAAAAAAAAAAAAAAAGGCTATATTAGTTAAAATACATTAAATACCTCAAAAATAAGTAGGACATAGTGAATGGTCAACAAATGTTAGTACCAGTAAGACTCAGGAGTAGCAGGGTAACATTAGATAGTCAATAAAAGTATGCTGAGGATAAATATTTAATAAAACATTGCCATGTTCTGATAAATATTAGTGAGCTACAAAGTAAGCTACATAATAAAGAGGCCACGGATGTAGCTCAGTAGTACAGCTCTAACTTAGCATTCTCAAGACCCTGGGCTCAATCCCCAGTACTGAAAGCAAAAAAAAAGTAAAGTACATAATTCCATTATCTGTAAAGAAAATGTTCTACAAGAAGTATTACTAAGATATTAAAAATGGTTATTTCTGGGTAATAAAATTATTAGCAACTATTATGCTCTTCCTTAAACCTTCCTATAGATTTCCAATTTTCTACATGGAATATATATTATTCATCACACTAAAAACAGTACACATAAAAAAAAATCAATATAATTTTAAAACAAAAGCAATATAGGATTTTTAGGAAAAATCAAAGATATTTATTCTAAGCCATCTGGCAAGTTGTTGTTTTGGGCTTACATTGTAGCTGGGGGGTTTTGTTTTGTTTCTCAGAATAAACAGAAAAAGAAAATTCAAAGATTACAAATCAAATAATATTATTAAAATAATAAACATTTATTTTAAATATAGTACACTGAAACACTGTTAAGTCTTTCTCTCTCTTTCTCTTTCTTTTGTGGCACTGGAGATTAAATACAGAGACTCGACCTTGTACCCCTCCAGCAACCTAAGCTTCCCACAGTGCTGGAATTGTACATATATACCAAGATACTCACTTTAAGCTCATTAGTATACATTAAAACTATCATTCACAACATGTGTACTGTAATCCTCCTTAAATCTTGAATTCCTTTTCTCAATTACTATCTCCCCTACCAGTACTGAACAAATTCTAACTTCTAGACATTCTTTTTCTCCTTTCTTAAATTTAACAGGCACTAGGGCAAGTTTTTTAATATATTTTGTTGGCTGGTTATTCCATCAGTGCTCACACTAGTTCGTTCGTTCGTTCTTTCTTTCTTTCTTTCTTTCTTTCTTTCTTTCTTTCTTTCTTTCTTTCTTTTCTCTTTTTTTCTAAGACAGGGTCTTGCTATATAGTTCAGACTGGCCTTGAGCTCACTATGAGCCCAGGCTGGCCTTTAACTCAGGTGATTGCCTTCTCTCAGCTTCCCAAGTGCTGGGATAACAGGTGTGCACCACAAAACCCAGCTTTTAAGTCAGTTCTTGCAAGTAATCACTCAATGGGGACACACGCACACCTACAATCCAAGCACTTGGGAAAGCTGAAGGAGGACTGCAAGTTCAAACCCAGCCTAGGCAACTTAGTAACTTACTGCCAAGAACCTGTCTCCAAATTTAAAAAATAAAAAGGGCTGGGGATGTGGGTCAGTGCAACAGTCCTGGTTTTTTTTTTTTTTTTTAAAGGATTTACACTATGAATCATGAATAACTTGATTAATAAGTTTTTTGTCATTGTTTTGAGACAGGGTCTCACTACAAAGCCCAGTCTGGCCTCAAACTTTTGCCTCAGCATTCCCAGGTGTTGGCATTACAGGGGTACGCCACACCACTCAGTGTGGTCCTAACTTTTTAAAGCCAATGATAGGGAACAAAGAAAAGTAAGAAAAAAGGTGGAAGGCTTTTCCCCCAATAAAAGCTCTAAAAAGACAAGAATAAGACAAGACCAAGGACAGATTTAAGAGTTAACTGCAGGTGCGTTTTTTCAAGATAAGACTCTCATCATGATCTGAAGACTTATTATAAAGCTCAGAGAAGTACCAGGAAAAAGTCTGGGCTTATTTTATCTAGATGTCCCCCTGAAAGTCCCATGTAGTTATCGGTGGGACTTGCATGGTGCAATGCTAGGATCAAGGGCAGTGGGATTAAAGGTGTGAGTGCTACATGCCTTAAGTAGCCTGAATAAGATATAAGGGTAGAAACAACAATCATCCCTTGCTTGCTTTGCTACCTTCTGCCCACCATGAGCTGTCTTTCTTCTGCGATGCCTATTTGTCATACCACCCTACCTTGGAGCCGGCTGACTATGGACTAAAACTTCTACAAATTGTGATCTAAATAAACCTTTCCTCCTTTAACTTTCAGTGTCAGGTATTCTGCCTCTGCAATGAGAAAAATAACTAAAACAATGACCAATATCTAACCTAGACGATGCCACCTCCATCATCCTTACTGCTCAGCTCTTCAGAATACAGAAGAACTCCGAATTTAGGAACCAAGGTGCTGGAAGGAAGACTAACAACTCCTAGTCAGAATCACTGGAAAGAGAACTAGTCACAGAAGGGATAGACAGAAAGCAGGGAAAACCTAATACAGGTGGGACAGTTTTAGGACTATCTGAATTAGGACTCTGCAGCAAGACAGTCAATGTACAAGTGTGTCACTGGAACTTCAGCAGAGAAAAACCTAAAATGCTTTGAGTGAAAAAGACTTCTTTTTTTCTACCACTTGGGTTTTGGGGACTTAATAAAACAGAAGAAATATCACACATGCATCCCCAGTCCATGTATAGGCAAGTTTCATGAAACTTTGAAATCCTCACTTTTATTTCCAAAGTAATATTTCATGCTTACTAAGAAAGTAAAACTGCCAAAGGTTACATAACTTGTGAGATTTATTAATCTGATCTACTCAGTTCTTCTATGTAAGAAGGCATTTTACAAGCACCACAAAGGTATATTAGATGGAAGACTGAGGAAGGAGGGGTATGAGCAGAGCACCTGAATATGTCAGTCTGCTTCACAAGAATAAAAGGGCAGTGCAAAGCTTACCAACAGACTCCTAATGGCCAGGGCAAACCCTGTTGGTGCCTTATCTTTTTGGACTTCTGCAGGTGACACTAGTTTTCCCACTGTCACCTCTCCCTAGTCAAGTACCCTTCACACTGCACCTGTGTTTCAAGACTTTGAAGCAATCATCTAAAACAAGAAATCAAGGGGACTGAAAAAGGGGAGATCCCTTGTTCTTTTACCTTATTTCCCACTTTCTCACATGGACTATTTTGACAGTACGATTAAAAATTAAGGGCAAACACGCTTATTTCTTTATCAGCCACTGGGTAAAAACAAAGATTAAAAGAGGACTAAGCTGGATTAGTTTAAAACTTCTCACTGACGCAAACTGGAATAATAGCAGACAACATTTATCAGGCACTTAAACCAAGCAGCAGTCACTGTGCTAATTTGTACTTGATATTATACTATGAGATAGGTACTATTATTATCCCCATTTTACAGATAAGAAAATAGAAACTTAGAAAAGTAAAGTAACTTGCCCAACATCATACAGCTATTTGGTGCTGTGCTGGAAGACTTTATTCTGATCTAGTATCATTATGAGAAAAATACATGAAATTTTTATTGAATGCAAATACTAATTAAAAAATGAATATGCATTCATGAAGAAAAAGATCTAGAAAGCAAGAGTTGGCTAAACAAAACAAGTTTAACGTTATCCAGCAATAGATCTCTAAATGTCTATCATAACCACTACTGAATAGCTCCACCGTAAAGAACTAAGTAACTCAATCTCCCAATATAATGCAATATATTCTGCAAATGAAATATGCTGCCCCTATTAGTAAAAATTCTTGTCTTGATCTATTCACTGTCCTATTTCTGCTCAGTTCCTCCCTTCCTCCTCCATTTCTTCTCTGCCTTCATATCCTTTAAAACCATTTTAGTTCCTCTTTTTCAAGTACAAGTACACTTTACCAAAAGAATGCCGACATTAGTCTCTGCTGCACAGCTGTAAAATGGTACAAACTCAAGCATCTCCAGCACAAATGCAACATTTCTAATGCACCTTAAGCTCTAGATCTATGCAATTGCAGAATTGTAAATATTTTTTTTAACTTCACACTTGGAATCCCACCTTTGATAATTAACACCTCAAAACAGTGGTTCCCTTTTATTTAGGCTTTCTTCAAAATTGTTTTTCACAAATTCTTCCATAAGTACTTGTAAAAATTACAAACCCAGGTGTAGTGGCACACATGTTTAATCTCAGCACTTGGAAGGCTGAGCCAGGAGAATCGAGAATGGAAAGCCAGAGGCTGGGGAGATGGCTCAGTAGAATAAGCACTTCCCTGGCAAGCACAAGGACCTGAGTTCAATCCCTGGTTCCGGAAAAAAAAGAATTGAAAGCCAGCCTAAGTTATACAGCAAGTTCAAGATCAGCCTATCTAGACCTTGTCACAAACAAATAAACAACAAAAAGAACTAGAATTTTAAAAAGGAAATACACTGTTAGAAATATATTTTTGTAGCAGTTTCTTCTGAATCATTTCTAGAAATTAATACAATTACAGGTAAATATAGTACCATATATGTAAAATGTTACTTATCAATACTCTAATATGTACTTCCATTCATTCACTCAACAAATAACTTCTAACTACCCACAGAGTATCTCTTTTTCTTCTCTCTGAATAAAGATGAGTGTAACAGATAAGGGCACAGGTACTGAAGTTAATTAAGATGATCTTCCTTTGAAACATACCTCTTGTACTAAACTCAAAAGACCTGGAATAGTCAGTTGAACTCCAGGTTAACATTTCAATTATTTATTTGATGGGAGAGCAGTAATTATTTCTAGGGCCTTTGTGAGCTTTAAATTATTATGTAAAACAGTTAGCATTGAGCCTAATACACTGTTCTACACATGGCCACTGTGGAAGATTGTAATATTGAAAAAAGTATAGTTGAAGATGATGGTCAATAAATACTCTGTCTTATTAAAAAGATAGGGGGCCAGCCACAGAGCTCAGCAGATTAAGGGACAAGTTTCAGTTCCATTTCTAGCTGGGCCTCACCCCGGGGCATGCTCAGCAATTGAGCCTGTGCATGGTGGCACGTGCTATAATCCCAGCACCTGGGAGGCTGAAAACAGGTGGATCACAAGTCCAATCTGTGTAGTGAGACCCTGTCCACCCTATACTAAATACATTTTTGAAAAAAGAAAAAAGAAAAAGATGGAAATTTATGAAATTCTGTATCAAAGATATAATAACGCTAAAAATCCTAGAATTATGTAAATCTCTTCCACCTTTTGGAAGGACTTGCTAAAACGTTATAAGTTATCAAATTATAAATCTTAGCGTTATGTAAAAAAAATCTTTCACCTTGGGCTCAGGGGCACAGCACTTGCCTGGCAAGCGCAAGGTCCTCAGTTTTATTTCTAGTACCTAAATAATCTTCCACCTTCTAAAACGATTTAAAAAAAAATACAAATCCAGTCCCCAGAATGTGCCTCATGTATTTCCTCATGTTCTGCAGAAATCAGGATTTGAGCCCTGAGATATGCTGAACAATAGTAGCTTCCAACTCAATAATTTTGTACTGGCCAAATTTTCTCAAATCAGCTGACCTTTCATAACAAAGGTGAACAACGGGAATAATTATGGGGCCAGGGAAATAACTCAGTAGAATAAGTGCTTGCCTGGCAAGCTCAGGGTCCTGAGTTCAATCCCCAGTACAGAAAAAAAAAAAA